GATTCTTATGAAATTGAAATGAAACACTAGAAAAACTTAACAATTTTTTCCACTCCAATTATTTTGCAATAGCTAATATTGTCTTCAAAGAACCAAAAATGAAGCCTGAATATGGAATTCATAGAAATCATATTGACCATTAGGTAGGCCTTGACCTGCAACACAATTGGGATCAGAATTTTCATTATAAGTCATTGTGGTCATAAGTCATGTTGGATCTGATTTTACAACAATTTTTACTGTGGACAGTAAGCAAATGATGCAATCATTAAGTGAATCCAACTTCCCCAATGCATATTTTTTCCATAAATCAGAAAAAAGATCACTAAACAAATAGTTATAAATTGAAAATTATCTCTATTGCTAAAGTAGAAGTGAAAGAACTTAGTAATAAAATCAAAGATATACCAGGTGCTACCAGTAGGGAAAAGTCAATTTCTAAAATATGATCTTGTGCATATATTCACCATTTTCAAGGAAAACATCAGGAATCATTCTGAAGTCCTGAAACATTAATGGAAAATCAGAGGAACTGTGAAATGAACCTGAGTTGTTAAGGATGATGGAGAATCATATTACTTTTCCCCATGTACTACTGGAAAGGTAGCAAGATTGAATTCAAGAACTACCAGGGAGTTCGTTTGCAAGTATGCCTGGGAAATTTTATGAGAAGTAAACATGAACAACATTTGAAAAATATAGTATGCCTTTTTCTGGGTAGTAAAGGGGAGCTATAGAGTAGATGTTTGTTCTTCATCAAGTTGCTGAGAGATGTATTAATGTTAAGAAAGAAAATGTTATAATCACTTGTTGATTTAAACAAAGCAGATGATAAATGACATAAGCTTGAATTGTGGAAGTTTTGTGCAAATATGGATTTTGTGCAAATATTGAATTTAATTTCTGAATGCTATAAAAACTATAATGAGTGGAGTAAAACATAAATGAGACTAAGTCAAATTCTTAGTGAATGATTCAGCAATAGGCACTAAGGCAAGAATGTATGATATCTCCCTACTTGTTTAAAACCTTCAAGAATAAATAAATAAGGAATGATTGTAGTGACATTAGAAATAAGCTTGGGGAAAGCTATACATCTGCATTTTTTTAAGCAGACAATTTTATCTTGCTGCCTGAAAACTTAAATGATATACATCAAATATTAAATAAGTTATATTATGCAGTTGGGAGAATGATTCCATAAATGTTTGTATTAAAAAAATCAAGATATTTCTATATGAAAGAGAAAATAGAGTGAACAAAACATATTAGCCTGAATAACAAGAATATGCTCAAGCAGATGAAATTGTTTGTTTGGGTTTGTTTTTGTTTTTTTAACAAGTTTTATTAAATTTTTCTTTTACATACATATTTTATGAACAGAGTATTGACGGGGTCACATCTTATACAGTTTATAACATAGTTATATATTGATTTTTATAATCTATTCCAGTCTTCTTTTTTGTTTTTTCCAAATACAATTTACATATTTCAATTTCTGCCATGATATTCTTTTTTCCTACTTTTTATTTTATCTTAATCTCTTCTTAATACATAATGTATAAACAATATCACCATCTACCCTTCAAATCCTAATTTCTTAGCATTACTTCAATTCATTATCTTATTTCTCCATTTATAAAGTATATTTCTCAAAATCCCCATCACATTTTTTGACTACTTCATCTTATTCAATTAATCTCTTCTTAGTACATAATAAGCAATATCACTATCAGCAGGGGTGGGTTCTAAAATTTTTTACTACCGGTTCTGTGGGCATGGCTTATTTTGTGGGTGTGGCTTCATGGTCATGTGACAATTATTTAGGATTTAGCAGAGGTACTGGTCTGCCAGGCTTTTAACTGCTTACAGAGCTGTACTGATCTACCCATTTATTTTTACAGGCACTGGTCTACCCATTTATTTTTGCAGGCACTGATCTACTCATGTATTTTTGCAGACACTGGTCTACCCATATTTACTGATCTACTCATATATTTTTTCAGGCACTGATCTACTCATGTATTTTTGCAGGCACTGATCTACTCATGTATTTTTGCAGGCACTGGTCTACCCATTTATTTTTGCAGGCACTGATCTATTCATGTATTTTTGCAGGCACCGGTCTACCCATTTATTTTTGCAGGTACCGGTCTACCCATTTGTTTTCTTTTAACACTGATCAGCTGTAGGGCGGCCCTTTGAAGCCCCGCGGCAAGAGTTTAAACAGTTTTTTCCCTCTAGCCATTAGCTGGGACTCAGGAGGCAGCAATAGATTGGGGATGGGGCCAAATAAAAGGTAAGAATAATGCGGGGGATGGGGGGGCAGAACCGGTTTGGTGATGTCATATTGTCACCGCTACTGGCTCAGCGGAACCGGGAGGAACCCATAACTGCCTATCAGCCCTTAATTCCTAATTTCTTATTATAGCATCAATTAATTATTTTATTTCATCATTTACAACATAATATTTCAAAATCCCCATCACACTTTTTTACCTTTCAATTTTGTCTCTTAGTTTCAGTTATTTTCATAATTGAACCAAATTACCACTTCATATTTCATCTGCTGTTCCATTTTACAATACACAATATACATCATCATATTTACTTTTTGCATTCACGATTATAAATGTTAATACAGTTCCCTTAGATCTACGAATATATACCTTATTTCCCTTCCTCCTTTCCACTATTCTTCCCCTTTTAACCATTTTCTCTTGGTGTCTCCAGAATCCTACTTTTTTCTCCCTTCATCCCATTCTCTTAACTTTTTTTTCTTTTTATATTTATTATATCATTTCTCCTGAATCCTTTCTCTAACTTTTGAGTCTATTACTCGCATAATTCGCCCCAAGCTTTTACCTAATCTTTTTCCATTTCCTTCTCTTCCCTTTGATTGATTCTTTTTTGGAAAATATCCCCCGTTCTTTTTTTGCCACTGTAAATCCCAGTGTAATCATCTAACTTTTTATCTTCAATTCCTTTTCTTTCAATATTATTTTCTTGCTTCTCATTTATATTCTTTTTTTCCTGTTTTGTGTGTTCTAACAAAGTTTCTAATTTTTTATTGCCCTTTATTGATTCCCATACATTTTTGAGCATCTCAATTAATTCCTCACACATCCAAGACTCCATATTGTCAATTTTAAAAATTATTGATATTTTAACTTATATTCAATTAAAATTTAAATCCATATAGTCTCTTTTTTGTTTCCAGATGATATCCAGAGCAAATGCTTGTCCAATTGACTCCAAATTAAAGCTTTATTGTTTTCCACCTCTTTTAGAAGTCGAGACCAAGCACTTTTAAGAAGAAACAAATATTCCTTAAAATTTCCCACATTTCTTGTAGTGATCAAGGTCACTGTTGTTATTTCTTTCAATTTTCAGGCTGGTCGTTGTAGTACTTTCTTTCCACCAATAGATGTCTTTCTCCAATCCACAATTCTCAGAACAGCAAAGTATCTAGCTTACAAAAGTATTTTATATCCACATAGAAAATACTTTTTCTCAAATTTTTTCTTTTATTGTATTTAATTTCTCCAAATTCAGTTTTAAATCCGTTGTAATTTTTTTTTCTTGAGCTTTAATATTTTAACCTCCTCTTTGTTCTTCCTTCAAATTTCAAAACTATCAAAATTATTTCAAATCCTCATTAAAAAGTACTTTCTATCGGATTTCTTTTTCTTGTATTAGTTTTAATTTCTCGTAATCCAATTTTAAACCCAAATATAAAGTTTTCTTTTCTGGGCTTTAGTACTTTAACTTTTTCTTTGTTCTTCTCCCTCCATTAAAATTCCCAAGTGCGAATTAGCCACACGTTTCCTCACCGGGACACCTTCCTCGCCAGGACACCTTTTTTTTTTAATTCCTTTTTTACCTGTGAGTTGGCCTATCACTCACCCGGTACCAGTACTCCATTCAAACACCGCTCCTGCACAAAATCTTATTCTGGTTGCCCCAGCTTCAAAGCAGTTGTTTTAATGGCTGCCACCTCCGCTGCTGGTTCGAAGAGCTGCCTCCGACCTTTTGAAGAACTTGTCTGTTCCTCTTGGTTGTCTGAGGCACCTCTCCCTCTTCACTGTCCCTACAGGATGGTTCTGGTCCGAAGACCCTCCAACAGCAGTTTATCTGGCTGGGTTTTTGCGAGGCTCAGCAGAGCCCGCTATTTTCCAGACAGTCTCACCGCAACGCTTCCGGTTTCTCAGATGAATTTGTGTACTTCATAAAATGTATGTAAAACAAAGGAAAATGGATGAGGAAATTTAAAGCATGTAAATACTGGCAGACACTGTATTTTGTATCAGTATGTCTGCTATGAAGAATAAATGTTTGTTGAAAGAAATAGTATGTGGAATTGCAGATGTCAGGAGACACATAAAAAAGTAAGTTGAATCCTATAAGAATTGGTAATTTACAGAATATTTGTGGAAGAGTGCAGTAAAAAACAATTTTTTACTGCTGATAATTTATTTTTACTGCAGATGCTTGAGCTCAAAAGTGAATGATCAGGACAAATCATATAGACAGATCAAATAATTTAATGAGGATTGAATCACAAATCAAATATATGAGGAACAATCAAGAGGAATTAGAAGATCAAAAAAGCACTGAGGACATCATCACTAGCACTGATGATGTTATCTAGTTTTGATAATGAAATGTTTGCAAAAAAAAAACAATCAAATCAGAGAACACCAAGGACTCCTCAAAATCAGAAAAATTATGGTCAGATGGAATTGATAAGCTGCTCAGAAAAAAGATAATCGAGAAACTAAAAAAACAAATAGCAATGTATGAAGTATATAGACATGATAGAAATTGTGGATGTGATAGAATAAAGGATGGTTTGCAAGGATATGTATAGAGAAAGGTATTAGAGCAGGACTAAATTTAGTTATATTTCCTTTTATTTATTTTAAGTTCATATCCTGGTTTCTTTGGAAACTTTTTCTTATTCCTTTTCTAGACTTTGCATAATCTATGTGTATTTATAGGGTACTGTGTTAACATCAGCAATGGATCATACAATGTCCATGCAGCCAGCAAGTATGATGGGCCCCTTGACACAACAGATGAATCATCTTTCCTTGGGCACAACAGGAACAGTAAGTTTGTGCTTAAATTTAACTTTTTAAATAGTGCTCTTTCACGCTATAGACTCTAGCAGCCTTTCTCAATTGTGGTTCTGCACAAGACCTATGGGATTCAAAGAGGTTATGAGGGGTTCTCTGATTAAAAAAAATAAAAAATTAAACATTTTTAAAATTTCAAGTGGAAATAATGCTAGCACTTACATTGTGGGAATTTTGATGAAGCCCATCACTGTGCTGTTTGTCAACACTGTAAAATGTGTGGGATGTGTAGTTAAAAATGAATTGTGCAGTTTTCATGTTTTGTGATATTTCTATGCAACAGATTCATGAGACCTGAAAATTATTTCAAAGATTACTTCACACCAAAAGGTTGAGAAAAGCTGCTCTAGATTGTTCTCTATTCCTCAGTACATGTCCATTTCTGTCTATTATTTGAGCATTATTAGCTAAAAAACTATAATTTGTTTGTCATTTTATATCTTTCAATTTATTTCATATTAAATGTTGATAACAAAATGCAGATTGTATAAAAGTGGTTCTTGGTGCAAAATTGAAGATGTACAGTTTAAGAGTACCATAGTTTATCAAAAACAGTAATAATAGTATTTTTCTTTGAACCATGCTGTTTCATGCTATTTTATGCTGTTTTCCTACTCAGAATTATCCCTAGTTGCAATTGTGCTCCATGGAAAACTTACAGATATCCTCATGATTTTTGAAAGGTTTTCAATATTTCATTATTGAAAATACCGTATTTTTCGGAGTATAAGATGCACCGGAGTATAAGACGCACCTACCATTTTTGGTTGGTTTTTTTTTTTTTTTAAGACAAACACACATACAAACATACAATCTATTTGCTTTGAACAGAGTGTTTGGCTGGTTCACAAATTTAAACAGTGTTTAGTCATTTCAATTAAATTTACAATTTCTATATTTCCTTTTTGCCATATTAATTCCTCATCTATTTTTTTTAAAAAAAACAATATTACCCTTCATTTTCATCTCTAATCTTAATCAAATTCAATTTTTCCCTTCTATTTTATATTATACCTCTTCCCATTGTCATCTATTTTTATATCCATCCTCGTATTGGTTAATTATTTAATATTACAATTGTTTAATACAAATTCAACATTTTTATATAAATCAATTAGTTATATAACTATCTTTTTTGTATATTAATCAATATGAACATGAATATTCCAATTATTTCAATGCAATCCAATTTCTTACAAATCAATTAATTATATTTACCAATAATAATAAACCAAATAATTGCTGCGAGGCACAGGCCAAAGGATGGGGGCCAGTGGGTGGGCAGGACTATATTCGGTGTATAACACGCACCTAAATTTTCACCCCCTTTTGGGGGGTAAAAAGGTGCATCTTATACTCTGAAAAATACGGTAATGTCATTTTCATTCCTGTCTGTAATAATATTAGCTGTAATGTAGAAATAACCCTTCCAGGATACGAGTGAAATTCCTAGCTACAAAAGTCCTTATTCATGCCATCTTTACTTTTTCTACAATTTTTAATTTGAAATTTGAAATCAGACTTCAAAATAAGGATGTTGTAAGGCAGTCTATGGAAGACCTTATAGTGACTGTTTTGGAAAAAGTAAATATCAAAGGTTTTCAGGCAATCTCAGAATGCCTCAAGAAATATAATGTGTTTCTAACACATTACAATTGTGAACTAATGAGGTGCTTGTAATCTGTTTCACCTGTAATTTCCACCTTTATAATCAACCTGTCTCCACCTTGCCTCACCCCAGTTTAAAACCTGAATCAGTATGCCAATCAGTATCCGAGGAACTGAATTACAGTTTATGAAAGCTTACACTTTTATATGAACTTTGTTTATCCAAAAAGTTAATGTGGCTTTTCTCCTACCATGCCATGTATGAAATATCTGTTTCATCATCCATATACAATATGCACAAACATATAGTTTGCATTTTTTTCAGAAATCGTGTGTGTTACTGAACTTCAAGAGTGTGCAGTTGATTAGTGTGAACTTTAATGATGGCATTAAATTCTTGTTCTAGACTAGAGTGTTGGTGTCTACTGTAGAAGGACTAAGTTGATTATGGTATGTGAGCGAAATACTAAATTGGTTAAAATATTGTCAGGAACTATGGTAGAATTAGAGTTTCTTCAACTTTTTCCTGTCAGCAAATATGAGCAACAGACCTGTCCAGTGACCATTTACTCTCTTTTTTCCTGTCTTTTTTACATGGCTAATTTATAGATTTGCAAGATAATATATAGCGAGCAAATATTTAGATTGATATATGATGGACACCAAAAAGTTGATTAATGAGAAAGTTTGCTATTTCTTAGAAACTGATAAAACATAGACTAGTGTTCATTGACAATGCTGCATTTATACCAATAGTTTGACTTTACCAGAAAAGAATGGCAGGAAATTAATGTTTAAGTTAATTTCCTGTGGAGCAAATTGTACCACTGACGAGAAGCTTTAAAAAAAAAATTCCAGAGGCATCATCATCATCATCATCTGATTGAATTATCCTTATGTCTTGGGCCACATTTTACTTAATTTTTAATTTAGGGACACATTTTTGTTTATAAGCACTGCTCATGTAATGTAATTAAAAACCTTAGGTTGTCTACAGAGCTACTGTAAAGCATTTTCATTTTCATTATCACCTTTGGTAAATGGACAAAACTTTTCATACCAGCATTGAGTACTGCCTAAAATAAAGTCTATGGATGCCCCAATGTAGGAGCTTTATTTAGTTAGTCAGTCAGTCAGTCAATCTGTTTTTTTCAAGGCTGTCCAAATACATGATGATTCTGAGCAACCTATAACTAAAAAAATCAAAAAGGAACAAAATACATCAAGAAAAAGAAAATCACTGACAAGCAGATCTAAAAAGACCAAGTAGCAGAAACAAAGGCCAAAGCTTTCTAACTCACAGCTTGTGACAACAGCCAACTCTTATGTGAAATTTCATGTCACCACTGTCATATATCTCAGATAAACCTGTGTGTTTTATGGAGCCAAATCTGGTTCTTAGCTGTAGCACGTTGTCATTCATAAACACATAAATACAGATATGCTAAATCCCTTCCTGTGATTTCCACTTTCCAACTCCCTCAGACTTTTCCAGGACTACCTTTCAGCTAAGTCTTCCTCCTTTTCTGCCTGAATTTCCAGAGATATGGGTGTAGATGTCCTCTCACTTGATGGGCACGTAATTAAACAGGAAGGTAAGAGTGATGTCCCCTTCTTTTCCACTTTCCCAGGATTTAGCTTTTATATAAATGACCCCAGTTTTCTTTATCCAAGATGACCTGGTATAAACTGTCCCACAGAAGTTACACTAAACATTTTCATCACCTGAGGGTCCAAACTACCACAACCATACAGACTCAGGTTGAGTCTTACTGTATTTCTCCCTGTGAACATATTTATGTGTTTACTTTATCATAGTAAAGATTAATGCACTACGGGTTATTGACCTTGTTTAAACAAACTGTTTTATTCATCTGAATATATTCAATGTCCTCAGGTGGGATAATTTCAGCTATCTTTGTTTTTCTTTGCCTTTTCTACTATTATAATTCATTTATTGCTACATTACATGTAAACTTTCAAACACTCTTTCTTTGCAAAAGGCTTTTATTATATTCCCTTTTTAGTTTTAGAAGTCACTATTATTGGTTATTTTTCACATTTTTCTCCATGTATCCTAAAATGCTATATTAAAAGAAAGAAGATTCCCCAGTAGGCTAAAATGTTTCAATTACATTTTACACATACTGAATTAACATGAGCTCTTTTCTGTACTAAGTTGTGACCTTTTCTGGAATACATTATGATTGTTCACATTTTCTAGGAATTTCTTGGTCTATTAACTAAAGTTGGGTTATGTTGAAAAAGTCTATCTGAGAGTCCTTCTCAACTAAACTTTCAGATTTATTTTTAGGGACCATAAATTGACCACCAAAGTAAAATTTTTCTGACCTGAAAGATTAGTCTTTCTCTGTCCCAAGCAGTATAAATTTTGCTGTATAAATGATGCTGGTGATCACTTTGGTGGTGGTGGTAGTATTGTTTTAAGGCTAGCTATTTTGATTTGGTAAATTCAGTCTGTTGTTTCCTAGTATTAAATCACATTTTAACTGAAATGTAACTTTTACTTTCCTTGTTTTTGATAACAGTTTTAAATTAATATAAAACTTATATGGGTATGATGCTTTATGGTTAATCCTACCTATATATTCTACTCTTTATGCATGAAATAAATACATAAATACATATAATTAAATAAAGCTATCTCCTTTTAAAAATGAATACTTACAAAAGTACTTCATATTAAAATGTCCACGTTGCTGTAGTTGTATTTCACTGTATGCCGCCTCTTTTTCCACCAGAACCAGTGGTGGGTTGCCCCCGGTTCGCACCGGTTCTATAGAACCGGTAGTAAAACCTGCGGGAGGCTCCGCCCACTGACCCTGACATCATCAAAATACTTCTGCGCTTGGCAGAAGACCGTGCGCGAAGCGATTGCATGCGCGGGGCCCCATTGTGAACCGGTAGTAAAGGTAAGTAGAACCCACTCCTGACCACAACCCCAAAAGCTTTGAAAAATCTGATTTTCATCTTAAACTCATGGTTCTTTCTTTTCCTGCCAATGAATTTAATCAGCAGGCTAGACTGAGACTTTATGTACAATAAAAGCTGTTGAAATAAATCCCAATGGCTTAAAACAATCAAAACTCCAATGGAGGTTTGTGGTCCTTTTTTATTACTGTCTGTGGACTTCAGGCATAATTTCAGCATTTTAACCTAGTAGTAACTTTTCAAAATAAAAAAGTCATTCGCTCGTAATACATCAGCAAGAAACGGTGTGAGCATTTTCCCAGAATTCTTTTGTCAATGGATACTAATCTGTATCAGTCTTGTATGGATACTAGTCTGTACAGTCTTTAGTTTGGGTTTAAGTGATTTCAACCAGTTTTGATGTTCATAATAAT